TGACCAGAACTCAATTTACGTCTTCCAAGTCATCACGTCCCTTTTTTCTCGTTCTTTGCCTTGTATAGCAAGGTTTTCCAAGTGAGTCTTCCGCAACGGGGAGACAAGCAGGAGATTAGATGGATGCTAATCACGATTGTAGAAGCACCTGTCGACGACGGAACAATGTAAAAAACGCACTTAGCGGACATTAACAATTGTCAAAATTTATAGGGTACTTATTATAGCTCTTTCAACCCGACAGTGTGAGGCAGCGTACGCGTCCATTTGTTACAGATAACGAATTGACCGTCAAAATATTTGATAGACAGGGGCATTTACCGAGTGGAATACTTACCTCGAGGCATAGGACCCTTCTACACCTTGTGGCGCAAGCACTTGGTATTATCTCTTCAACTCACACGGCATCTGTGCAGGGCGGGGAAAGTATTGAATTCGAAGCTCGCCCTGGGATTTCCGATGAAGAATGTCGTGTAGATTGGGGGACTGAAAAGCACCAAAATCTACCTTCTGGGGTCTTTCCCCTGGAAGACTGAGAGTAAGTATCTGTAAGTAACTCTGCAATTTAAGCAATCCCGACGGTTAGAAGGTAACGGCGAAGCACGTGCTTGTCAATTCCGATCGGGTTTGCGGCCATTTTTAGCCACGACTCGCCCAATATTTTTTTTTGCGTTTATGTATTGACCGTGTGGAAGGTGTCACAGTTCCTTTGACCTCCCATCTCTGACAGTTTTTTCCGGTATTGCAAAATCGTTTTGAAGGGTTCTAGGAAACGAACTCAAGTTGTCCAATACTCAAACCAGAACCATTAATCAGGACAAACTATCCATTCCCTCCTTTCCTCTCTTGAACTACCTCGTTCGCCAGCCACCACATTTCCAACCCACGGCTACGCCCCTCTAATTGAACGAACGCAGCGAATAACTCACCAGAATCGAACCTTGAAAAAAATGGCCACAGTACCGGCACGACGCAGACGCCACTCTGGTTCCATAGATGCCAGCGACGCCCACACCCCACGCAAGTTTTTGAATCTCGGAAACGCGCCACTCGTCACCAAAGACGGAATCGTACCTCCTCCTCGACCAAAATCGACACCGGGTGAACGGCCGACACAGCGCAGGCGGCAAAAAAGCCCCACGAGGAGCGACGACTCCGAGGCGGAAGGAGAGGGCGACGTGGAACAAGAGAATGAAGAGGAGCCCGTTATGCAGATCGACGAGGTCGACCCGCCTGCCAAGGTTATTTCGACGAAACCCAATGATCACGCGCCGATCACAATTTTGAAAAACACACAACACAAACGGCTTTCTTCTTCCACCACCACCACCATCACCACTACTCCCGCAGCACAAGGCGAGCGGCCCACCCGTCCGCTTCCCGCTTCAAAAGCCCGCAAAATGGCTTCAACAGCCAACCCGGTTCAGAGCCTTCATGTCCAAGCTCCAAACCCACATCTTCCCATTCAACATCCAGCCAACCCAGCCATGTTGCCTGTTCAGGCACATGTACCTCGCGGGGCCGCAGCGGCTTCTGGGCGAAGGCTTTTCGTTATTCTCGAGCAGGCTTGCTTGGAGGCCTACAAAGTTTCAGGCGGCGGTGGATCTGGCGGAAAAGGTCGTGGAGGTAAAGACTTTGGCAATGGGGAGGCGAAATATACCCTGTTGAATTGCGACGACCACCAGGGCATTCTGGCAAAGACGGGAAGGGATATCGCGGACGCGAGACCTGATATCACCCATCAGGTGGGTCATTCTTCTTTGTCTTGCTTTTCCGAGTCGTCCATGTGCTCCGTTTTTCCAAATTTTCTTCTTACAATTTTTCGCTATCAGTTCGATCTAATCAAGTTGATCTAACAGTGCCTCCTAACCCTTCTGGATTCGCCTTTGAACAAAGCGGGCTTACTTCAGGTGTACATCCATACTGCCCGTGGCGTCCTCATCGAGGTAAATCCCCATGTTCGCATTCCGCGTACGTTCAAACGGTTCAGTGGGCTCATGGGTGCGTTGCCAAACTTGTTCGCATGGATATCGCCACTGACATTCCTTCATTAGTTCAACTTTTGCACAAACTTTCGATTCGCGGTGTGAACGGCCCCGAAAAGTTGCTCAAGGTCGTTAAGAACCCTGTTATCGACCACCTGCCGCCCAACACAATCAAACTTAGTCCGTCTCCATTATCATTTGATCTTGACCAAAAAGTAACTCCTTCCCCTGTTATCAGCCCTCTCTGGCGACGCGCCTACGCAGCGTCTCTCAAAATACCTCCCTACCTTGCCCACCACGCATAACATCGCCGTATTCGTTGGTGCTATGGCTCGTGGTCGAGACGACTTTGCGGATGCCTATGTCGACGCAAAGATTGGAATTAGTGAATATCCTCTGAGCGCAAGTGTGGCGTGCGGAAAGGTGCGTTTTTTTTAGTCTGTCGGCCGACGGCAGGCTCCGTGGAATTTTATCCTTCCCTACTCAATCAGTTTACTGACAATCTCGGTTGTGTTTTGTTCAGTTCTGCTGCGCCCTCGAAGAGCTCTGGGATATCGTCTGAGCGATGGGGCCTGCCCGCGCGGGTCTTGCTCGACCTTTTGATTTGGTCTGTTACTTGATTCTTTTTCGTTCCTGTAACTTTTTATCCCCACATTATAACTGCAACTACAACTACAAAATTTCACGACCCTCGCATTTTAACGAACCAACACGACCCAGCCATCTGCACTTCAACTCGCAGAAAGAATCATCTTTACCTACCTATCTCGATCCAATCTCCCCTAAAAGGCTCGCGAACTCTGTACAACCTCGGTCATTTTCTTGCATTGTTCTGTTATACGGTATAAACAACCCCATATAAACGCCTACTTTATTGTTTCTTGTCTACACTTACATACACAGCTACATGCTCACCTTGCACGCGTTTCGTCCATGTCACTCCTCTCCCCAACTTCGCTCCACCGACTCCATATCTCTCATAACGTTATGTAACTTATTAACTCCCTTTCTCTCCCCTTCCCTCCCTTACATTACTGTCCTTTCCTCCTTTTCCTTCTTCGACCATCCTGCCTTGCTCCACCACCCACCATATGTGGTTCGTTGCGTGTGGCTCTGAGAGCTACTTCGCCGGTGGATTCCCCCCGCGGTGCCGTCATCACCCGCTTCCTCTCCCCTCTCTCTTTCTAGAACACTGCTTCCCGAACACCTGCGACTCAACTCGCATCTGGCTGGCTGGTTCTCAAATACTTATTTTTCTTTTTTTTTTTTCTTTGTTTGCTTATTTTTGAAATTAAAGTCCACGGCTTGGGATAAATTTTCTCGCCTTCGTTACATATTTGTTGACGAAGGCTTGTATAGATATTTTAAAAAATCCATGGCGCGCCGTGATCACCAATCTTCGAACGGCGCTTAGAAGGATACATAGTTATCATCGTTTGTATCCTGGGGGGTATTATATAGTATACTACGAGACACTATTCGCCGTCCCATTCTGGATCCTCGAGAATTTGCGCTATGCAAAGCCGAACACTCCCAAAGTCTCCCAAATTACATGAACATCTGTGTCTTCTCCAAGGTATAAAGGTCTCAGCCCCGTCAGATCTATATCGTCCTTGGATTCCCCAGCTGCCCTTAAACTACGCACTCCAGCGGCAACGACCTTCCGTTTCGACTCCTTGGTCAAGTCCTCTTCGTATTGGGAGACGCTGTTCACCATCTCCCGTCCATGGGATATGAGCAAGGCGCGTTTGAATCCGTTCGAAGCGACCTGCTGGGGCTGCGACTGTGCGTATGCCCGGAATGTGGATTTGGCGAATAATCGCAGGTTACTTTGGGTGGCGGTTGCGGAGCTGGGGGTGTTTAACAGGTGTACGTGGAGATGAGCGACTGTCGATGGCGCCCATTGGATTGGATTCAAGATTAGGATTAAATGAAAAATTTGTAGCAATGAAAAGAGAAGAGAAGCTTACGCAGCATGCCCAGCTCGCTAGAGGCGCTCGTGAGTCTAAAATATTCCCAATCGATAAGCCCACATCTCCCAAACGCTCCCAGTTCAACCAGGATATTTCCAGGCCAGAAATCAACCATTCCTAAACAGACGTCTTCCGCCTCTGCTTTGGCGCGCAATGCCCTCCCTGCGCGTTCGGAGAGAACAACGGCCTCAGCTTCGGTGATGTCCCCGAACTCACGACAATTCTTGAGAACCAGTCCCGTGAGGTAATGGTACAAGCTGAGGGAATCTGTCGATGTCGCGTGTGTGATCCAAGGTTCCGGGGGGTTCGCGGTGGCTTGAAACAATTCGGATAGAAATCTACCGAGAACGGCGGCGAATTCTTGGATGTGGGTGGTTTCTAGCGCTGGATCTGAATCCTGGAGTAGTATTTGGGAAAGTGTCTTCATCTGCCCCAGATCCTCGATCCATATTACGTTGTTTTTGGCATCGTGCCAAATATATCTCGGAATGTTAATACGGACGCTAGCGCTCGTTCCAATCGTCCCCATCTGACGGTATCTGTCCACCAAAGCTTGGATGACAGCGGCTTGGACAGGAGGAAAAGTCGAATCATCTCCCGAAAATATCTGTAGCGCCTTCTTTTCTGTCAGCTGTCGGTCGACTGACATGGGTTGGTTGGGAGCAGCGGCAATGTAGGGTGGCGCGTGTTTGAGAATGGCGCTGTGAATACCGTCGCCGTTTTCGAGCTTAATGCCATCGATAACGAGCAGCGGAGAAGCGAATCTTACACGTGCGGTGTGGTTCATCAATCCACCTGTTAGAACCTCCACGGTAAATGGCGCGTCGCCAGTCGCAGCTGCCTGGTCGGAGCCGCGCCGGGCGCTTAAGTGATCCTGAAGGTAAGTAGTAAAATCAAACGGCATGGATGGAAGGATACCAGTGGCGCACACATCTATCTGTCTGCGGTAGCGTATCTGCCTGCAGGCTAGCGAACTGCCAAAAATTATGATGTGGCTGTCACTAAAATGAGTCATGAGATCTAGTGGAAACCCGGAGCAAAATGACAACAGAGGGATTCGAACCCTCGCCCTTTCGGACCAGATAAACCGTTCATGGGAATGGCCTGATTCTGGCGCCTTAGACCACTCGGCCATATTGCCTTTAATAGTGGAGGTAGCAGGACGCCTACAATTATGGGGTGACAAGTCATTCCAAGCATTATCGTTGCGGTGCATTCGCCAGTTTCACGCAACACCACCACCATATGGAAGTGGTTCTCGGTAAAGGTTCCCCTCTGTGGTGCACTACAAGTTTCGCGATCGCGAATGTGTCCTTGTCAATGTCGATTTCAGCCTTCCCACTCGTCTCTCGGGATCGAAATTTTGAAATTTCTCGCTGTCGTCGAAAAAATTGCTTGGGCGCCAGCATTTTCACGTCCCTCTGAGTTGCTTTCCAGATCTTGCCTCGCGAACTGTTGATAGAAGGATTTTCCCGCCTTGGAAAATTTGTGCCAGCCACCTCTCAGTTCGTAAACGAACGGCGCTGACAATTTTCCGGGGAAGTTCTCTGCTGTAATATGGACTGGCGCCCTTCTTTTCGCCTTTGAAGTCGTCAGCTCCTTTCCTTCATACGCTTGCCCTACAATGCTGCCCCCACTCTTTGACGTAAAACGCACACCGGTGAACACGCATGGCTTAGGATCCCAGCCTCACCTGAACCATCGCGCGGATTCTCCACCTGAGCCGACGTCGACATATGTGCCCCATCCCCACCCGCTGGGACAGAAATCGTTCAACCACCTTAGCATCTGGGCGTACCTAGCCATCGCATTTATTCTGCTCGCCGTATCCACCGTCTTCGCATATTTGATTTACACTTGTTATCACTCTGGAAAATCAAGGCAGCGCGGAACTGGAGGTCCTTGGAAAAGGGTTCCTGGAATTGGTACCGATGGAAGGGCGGTGAGGATAGGCGACAAGGTTGTCGATGTCGGGGAGAAGGTGAAGCTTGGAGGCATCCGAGTGGGAAGGGCGGTTCGGGACCTGAAGGGCCTTGGATTCGGTCACGACAGGAAGCAGTCCGAAAGTGAGGTAAATCACAAGTTTATTTGGCCGGGAAGGGACACACTTATCGTTTCCGATTAGACCAAAATGATTCGACTGCCCCGTCCAACTGCGTCTAAGACGGCGAGCTCACTTTCAACCACCAAAGCTGGCTCCTTTGATCTCGACTATAACTATGTCAGCTCTCCGCCACTTGTCCATGCCAAGGAGGGTCCTGCGACTTGTATCCCATTCCATTTGCCTCCCCCACCCCCATCGCCAACGCCGAGGTACAAGCGACAAATGGAAAGACAGATGTCCCGTGGGCAATACTCTCCGGCTTCACCCTCTCCCTCAGCCCGTTCGATCTTGTCGCCCCCACGTAGGAATTCTAACGAAGAATTTGATTCGAATGACATCCAATTCGCTCCCGCTCTCAACCCTTTCATGACACCGCCAACTGGACTTCTCTGGAACGACCCTAAACTATCGCCTATTCACGGTTCGATTATCACGTCTAGCCCCGCCATCGGTAGCGGATTATCGACTCCAGAACGGCCATCGTTCACCGGGGTTGCTTCATCGAGGTCCCCGGGAACTTCAGGCCGATCCAGCAAAGCACCTTTGAGTTCGAGCCCAAGTTCCAGCACGACGAAGCCGAAATATTCTGGACCTGAGCGGGATCGTGGTGCGGAATGGAGAACGTGAATCATTTCTCAGAGTGTTCAGGCTTGTTCAGGAAGGGATTGGATTCTTTCGTTAGCATGGGGTAATCTAGTTGGTTATATATATTCGAGAGCGATCTAGTTACTACATCGGTCGTACAAGAGGGAGATGGGTACAAATTCCATCTGACAGGAGAGAAATTTCCAAATGGTGGATATACGCAGAGAAATAGATCGACAAATCCGAGCTTACAATAACTTCCTCCTTTATACCGCCAGCTCCACGACAACCTTACCGCTAGCAGCTGCCTCCATCCCTCCACCCAATCTGATGGTCGGAGGCTGGTCGCGGGTCTCGGGAGAGCATTCGTCAACTATCCCTAATCATATCGACGTTACTTAAGTTCTACTTTAGGATCTGCATTTCCGGAAGGGTCCGATCAGTGATGACACGGATCACGCCAAGGTTAAACGTTAGGCGCCGTCCGACCCCAACGCATTCTCCTACACCACTGCCTGGTCCCTCGTCTTGTCTCCCGGAGTCCAGTTTTCACAGGGATTTTCCCGTCACTTCTTCCCATGCTTTACCCGCCACCTGCGCTCAATGACTTCGACATAATAACCCTAGAGGCTCAGAATGTAGATCTAACGCCGTTGTAATAAGGATAAGGGTCTTTATTGTTATTTTATATAATGTTCACGTCACCATAATAACACTCCGGTGGGCTCATTTTCAAGATCTAGTTTGGCTTACCGTTTGTTATAGACGAAATTGGAAACAACTGCATCGTGCACTTTCACAATCCATTATCCTGCAATTGACTTTCAGCACTGCATATAACAAAGCCTGAAATGATATAAAAGCAGTCCGCAATCCAACGGACGGTCCTTACCACAACAACACGGTATACCATGCCCCTCGACGAAGAGACTCTAACTTCACCACTGTCCCAACCTGCAGCTGACGTCGCTAACTTGAATAACGCCATAGAAGCATTTGAAAACAAGATTATTGAACTGTCTGAGGTTCAGTGAATTCCATCCCGGATGTTTGCATGACAAGTGATGAAAACGCTTCCATCAGGCCCTATTGGCTTTTGAAGAAACGCTCAAACGGCTGCAAGTTGGGGTCGGTGAGGTGTGTACTACCAAGGAATATATCGAAGGAATGCTCAGGTGCGGCCTGCGAATGGTGGTCTGTTACGGTTTCTGATGGTATGACAGAATTGTCAGGACAATCAAGGAGAATATAATGCAAACCGTGAGGGATATGTACGGAGAATGCAGGATGACTACACTCGAAGATTTCATGAACCAACTTTCGATACGACGCGAAGGTTCAAAGTGTGTATCTGGACAAATTCTCTGCAATCGGACGCCAACTAAAATTACCATTCCTCCAGCGTGCTAATGACCTCCATGAGTCCGCCCTCCAACGCCAGAGCCAGCGAACTGGACGCCCGCGTATTCAAGGGGATCGACGATATGTGCGAGAGGCTGAAAGCTCTGCGTAACACGGCGACAGACATTGAGTCCCGAGTACTTGGCGGGATTGCAATGCTTCCAGAGTCGGGCACATCTTCGAGATTCTGATGAGAAAGTTGAACGAGAGGGAGTGTGGAGAAATGAACTAAAAGGCAATGTACCGCCGCTCGTGCCATTGGTGGCTGCGATCCCTCCAGTCCGCCTACGCCAGCAGCGGACGGCCTTCTCTTTGATAGTCACAGTCTTAGTTTCGATGAATAAATTTGCTGATCATGCCGTGTTTCTTCGACGAAAACCCGAGAGTTGTGATAGTCGAGGGTTATGAGATGATGCATTCTGGATAAAACAAGGACATGATACAAAAGCTTGAGAAACATTATGGGCTTTGCGGAGCTGACAGTGGAATACGACAAGAAAAGGATAGTAAACACATCCCCAGACTACAGCTCTCACTCTTTAGCCCTTCAGAGCTTCAGCTGGTGCTAGCTCTGAATAGCCAGCCTTACCTATTCCCAGCGCCTAAGTATGTTTTTCGAAATGTTTCCTGACTCGAGGGTGAACAACGTTACACAGCACAAGCACCAGGGAGTATTCGCCGCGTCGAACGATAAACTGTTGCAAAGGATTAGAAAGGGCTGCAACCGTGAATATGGCTGCGTCAGGGTGGATGAGGATGATGAGCTCCCTTGTTTATATCAAGGTCGCATCTTGACCAACGTAGGAAGAAGGGGGAAATGCAAAAGGATATCGATTGGAGAGAGAATCACAAGAAAGAAGGCGAACTGGACTGTGTTACCCACCAGCTCCTGCGCGAATTCGAACATAAAGGCGTTGTAGAATGCAGAACCCTCCACCCTTGGCAGCTAACCCCCCTCTCTGCGTAGTGTTTCTCGGGAATGGTTAAAGACACAGAGAACATATTGAAAGGTAATGGCAGTCGTTGACCTCATTTTTTGGGAAGGAGTCACGGACAACGATGAAGTATTCAGTGACCAATTGCACGGTTCCAATTGGCATGCCGGCGCCTGATGTACCTTAGTATGGGACGAATTGGTCGAGGTAACATTGACAATACCTGATTACTTGCGGGTTGATCTCCGTCAACACTGTGTTCAGCAAGGGGTAAATGACATTTTTCGAGTTCCAGTTATAAAACGAGCCGAAAATCTTTGCAGGATTTATTCAACTAGCCTGTTGGAATAGCGCCCAGTCATGAACGGCTGGGATATCGCAGTCGTCATGGATGGGATGACAGATTCCCTTGTTTATTTAAAGGTAACTAGCCATGGACCCGTGCTTCGCACGGGAATGTCCTGAGTTCATTAGTCTTATGCGCCAAACCTCTTAACGCTTAGCATATTATGGCCCAACAGTCACCAGTGGCAAAGACCGCAGGGAATCATCAAAAGCCGAACCCATGGTTTCAATTTCGGTTGAATTTGAACGTGCTTACATCCTCAGTCACGGTACGGACCTAAGTAAGTACTTAGTAGTATCCCTCCAGCTATTGAGAGGACGAAGGCATGCATAAGAACAAAGGCATATTTACTTATCGGCAGACGATGTTTCAAGACATTGATGCGAGCTGCACGACCCGTACAAATATCGAGGTCAGTGCCACGGAACGCCGTGTAGTCTGCTGAGAAGGAGAGGGTGTCAGAAGCGATGCCTTCAGAATGAAATGAGCATAAAGAGGAAATTATAAGTTTGGATTCCCCGCCGTTTGTCTAGCCAACGAAGCCCTCAGATTGTTCAAAGTTGATACACCTGTGGAGTATTTTCATCTCGTGAACTGTCCGCATGTCTTCGCTGCGGTGAGCGCAAAGGGGCAGTGCTGCGAGCCATTTGATCTAACGCTCGACTGCTCGCCCTTGTTCTCTCACCATAGCCAGGTTGAGGAGGGGGCGTTTCAGATATTTGTGCAGCAGAGCGACGACGGCATGGCCATGGGCTTTCCTCGACATTTTG